ATGCGCCTCATAGTTACAAAAAGTACAATATCTCACCAGAAGGATGGGCTCGCTAGTAGTGTAAAATGTGACAAAATGTGCCGAACCGCTCCAGGAGTTTCCAACACTGACTTAGTGTGGCCAAGCCGTGTAAGACTAGCCGTGTGGGTCAAGCCGCGTGACCCCAAGCCGCGTGACCCCAAGCCGCGTGACCCCAAGCCGCGTGACCCCAAGCCGTGTAAGACTAGCCGTGTAAGACTAGCCGTGTGGGTCAAGCCGTGTGGCCCCAAGCCGCGTGACCCCAAGCCGCGTGACCCCAAGCCGTGTGACCCCAAGCCGTGTAAGACTAGCCGTGTGGGTCAAGCCGCGTGACCCCAAGCCGTGTAAGACTAGCCGTGTGGGTCAAGCCGTGTGACCCCAAGCCGTGTAAGACTAGCCGTGTGGGTCAAGCCGTGTAAGACTAGCCGTGTGGGTCAAGCCGCGTGACCCCAAGCCGTGTAAGACTAGCCGTGTGGGTCAAGCCGTGTAAGACTAGCCGTGTGGGTCAAGCCGCGTGACCCCAAGCCGTGTAAGACTAGCCGTGTGGGTCAAGTCGTGTAAGACTAGCCGTGTGGGTCAAGCCGTGTGACCCCAAGCCGTGTGACCCCAAGCCGCGTGACCCAAGCTGTGTAAGACTAGCCGTGTGGGTCAAGCCGCGTGACCCCAAGCCGTGTAAGACTAGCCGTGTGGGTCAAGCCGTGTGACCCCAAGCCGTGTGACCCCAAGCCGCGTGACCCCAAGCCGTGTGACCCCAAGCCGTGTAAGACTAGCCGTGTGGGTCAAGCCGCGTGACCCCAAGCCGTGTGACCCCAAGCCGCGTGACCCCAAGCCGTGTAAGACTAGCCGTGTGGGTCAAGCCGTGTGACCCCAAGCCGTGTAAGACTAGCCGTGTGGGTCAAGCCGTGTAAGACTAGCCGTGTGGGTCAAGCCGCGTGACCCCAAGCCGTGTAAGACTAGCCGTGTGGGTCAAGCCGTGTGACCCCAAGCCGTGTAAGACTAGCCGTGTGGGTCAAGCCGCGTGACCCCAAGCCGTGTAAGACTAGCCGTGTGGGTCAAGCCGTGTGACCCCAAGCCGTGTGACCCCAAGCCGCGTGACCCCAAGCCGCGTGACCCCAAGCCGTGTGACCCCAAGCCGCGTGACCCCAAGCCGCGTGACCCCAAGCCGCGTGACCCCAAGCCGCGTGACCCCAAGCCGCGTGACCCCAAGCCGTGTAAGACTAGCCGTGTAAGACTAGCCGAGTGGGTCAAGCCGTGTGACCCCAAGCCGCGTGACCCCAAGCCGTGTGACCCCAAGCCGTGTAAGACTAGCCGTGTGGGTCAAGCCGCGTGACCCCAAGCCGTGTAAGACTAGCCGTGTGGGTCAAGCCGTGTAAGACTAGCCGTGTGGGTCAAGCCGTGTGACCCCAAGCCGTGTAAGACTAGCCGTGTGGGTCAAGCCGTGTAAGACTAGCCGTGTGGGTCAAGCCGCGTGACCCCAAGCCGTGTAAGACTAGCCGTGTGGGTCAAGCCGTGTAAGACTAGCCGTGTGGGTCAAGCCGCGTGACCCCAAGCCGTGTAAGACTAGCCGTGTGGGTCAAGCCGTGTAAGACTAGCCGTGTGGGTCAAGCCGTGTGACCCCAAGCCGTGTGACCCCAAGCCGTGTGACCCCAAGCCGCGTGACCCCAAGCCGTGTAAGACTAGCCGTGTGGGTCAAGCCGCGTGACCCCAAGCCGTGTAAGACTAGCCGTGTGGGTCAAGCCGTGTGACCCCAAGCCGTGTGACCCCAAGCCGCGTGACCCCAAGCCGTGTGACCCCAAGCCGTGTAAGACTAGCCGTGTGGGTCAAGCCGCGTGACCCCAAGCCGTGTGACCCCAAGCCGCGTGACCCCAAGCCGTGTAAGACTAGCCGTGTGGGTCAAGCCGTGTGACCCCAAGCCGTGTAAGACTAGCCGTGTGGGTCAAGCCGTGTAAGACTAGCCGTGTGGGTCAAGCCGTGTGACCCCAAGCCGTGTGACCCCAAGCCGTGTAAGACTAGCCGTGTGGGTCAAGCCGCGTGACCCCAAGCCGTGTAAGACTAGCCGTGTGGGTCAAGCCGTGTGACCCCAAGCCGTGTGACCCCAAGCCGCGTGACCCCAAGCCGTGTGACCCCAAGCCGTGTGGGTCAAGCCGCGTGACCCCAAGCCGTGTGACCCCAAGCCGCGTGACCCCAAGCCGTGTAAGACTAGCCGTGTGGGTCAAGCCGTGTGACCCCAAGCCGCGTGACCCCAAGCCGTGTGACCCCAAGCCGCGTGACCCCAAGCCGTGTGACCCCAAGCCGTGTGACCCCAAGCCGTGTGACCCCAAGCCGCGTGACCCCAAGCCGTGTGACCCCAAGCCGCGTGACCCCAAGCCGTGTGACCCCAAGCCGCGTGACCCCAAGCCGCGTGACCCCAAGCCGCGTGACCCCAAGCCGCGTGACCCCAAGCCGCGTGACCCCAAGCCGCGTGACCCCAAGCCGCGTGACCCCAAGCCGCGTGACCCCAAGCCGTGTAGCCAAGCCTTGTGGGTAGGCTGAGCCCCTGGAGAGAATACAGTACCCCCCGGGTGGAAGCTAGGTGCTGGCATCGACCGTGGAGCGTGCTGGGGCGCCGTGGTGCAGGCTGGAGAGTTTATTGTCTATGTACTCGCCTATAGGTCAGTCTGCAGGGTCGACCTGCTGCACCTCGACCCCCAGCCTTTCCACCATCATCAACTCATCGTCTTGCATCCTCAATGCATTGCCACTTTTTGCTCCATTTTCTTATATTTACATTTAAAGCTGCATGTAAGATTGGCTTTTATAACTTCCTCATCCAGTCTCTTCCACTTATTTCTGACTCTTAGACCGGAAAGATCTTTCCGACATCCCTGTGACACATCTATTTTCAGTTTCTAATTATGTCCGCTCGTTCCACTGTTGCTTAATTTGAATATTGCTTTTATGTCTAATTTGTCAATCCTCCCTTAGTATCTTGTATGTTGTTACCATGTCTGCCTAATTCCTTCTTTCCTCCAGTGAAGTGAGTTCCAGTTCTGACAGTCGTTCTTTATAGCTCAGTTCCCTTAGCTTAAGAAGCAGCCTTGTTTCATATTTTTGTACCTTTTCTAGTTTTATTTTGTACTTCTTTTTCATTCCCTGCACTGTTGTTTCTTTCTCTTTATTTTTCCATTTTTATTCATGTCATTTAATGTATACCATGAACAACCCAGCGGGTTTTCTTCCTATTGGGGAGTGTTGTACATGCTGCTATGGCGGTGTGTCCACTCACAGGATGAGTGGCGCTGCCCAATAAACTCGCCCCTCGGGGCAAAAATTAAAAAAAAAAAGTGAAACCTTTCTGTAGCCTCAACTTCTCTCAGGTTACCTTTTCGCTTCATGCGGCTTCTTGGTGCCGCGTCATTTGCGAATACCAGTTTTAGTGGTCTAGACCTGGCTGTTGAATATGAACCCAGCCTGTAAACGTCTACCAAGTCTCTCGGCCTCGTACTGACATCACAGTCTAAATATGAGTATGTATGTCCACTTGCCTTCACGCAACTGTTCAGCTTTTATTATCCTTTGTCTCTGTATGGCCTTAAATTATCAGCATTCTCTCACTCTTTCACTGGGTTATCCCTGGAAACACAAACCGAAACTGTCTCTATTTTCCGCTTGTTACAACTTGTAATAAAGTTGTTACATCTTGGCTTAACGTGTTTACGACGTATTAGAACGTTGTTACAACTTGTTATATTGGTTGTTATAACTGGTTAGGTGGTGTTAAAACTTGTTCGAACGTTGTACCAACGTCGTAGTTTCGGTGTGTGTTTGGCGGGATCTCCCTTGTCTGCTCCTGCATGTGTTCGGAGTTTGTTATTTGCACATTTTTTTTTGCAATTTGCACATATTCATCATCTATTTATTTGGTCAACTATCTAATATTTGGCAATTTTCTTTTGCTCTTGTGTCCCCATTTTCAGGGTTCTGTCCCTCTACTGTGTCCTCTATGGTTTTTAACCATAGAGGAATTGTCGTTAATTGCTGTCTCTTTTGCCGGAGTTTTCTGTACTTTCCTCACACCTGGTACTTGACTCACACCTGGTACTTGCCACACACCTGGTACTTGCCACACACCTGGTACTTGCCACACACACACCTGGTACTTGCCCCACACACACCTGGTACTTGCCCCACACACCTGGTACCTGCCCCACACACCTGGTACTTGCCCCACACACCTGGTACTTGCCCCACGCACCTGGTACTTGCCTCACGCACCTGGTACTTGCCTCACGCACCTGGTACTTGCCTCACGCACCTGGTACTTGCCTCACGCACCTGGTACTTGCCTCACGCACCTGGTACTTGCCTCACGCACCTGGTACTTGCCTCACGCACCTGGTACTTGCCTCACGCACCTGGTACTTGCCTCACGCACCTGGTACTTGCCTCACGCACCTGGTACTTGCCTCACGCACCTGGTACTTGCCTCACGCACCTGGTACTTGCCTCACACACCTGGTACTTGCCTCACACACGGTACTTGCCTCACACACGGTACTTGCCTCACACACGGTACTTGCCTCACACACGGTACTTGCCTCACACACGGTACTTGCCTCACACACGGTACTTGCCTCACACACGGTACTTGCCTCACACACGGTACTTGCCTCACACACGGTACTTGCCTCACACACGGTATTTGCCTCACACCTGGTACTTGCCTCACCTTTAGTTCACTTTACCTTTGGTACTTTTCTCATATTTGGTACCTTCCTTACCTTTGGTACCCTATTTACCTTTGGTTCTTCCTTAACTTTTGGAATGTCCTCACCCCAGGCACTTCCCTCATCTCTGGTACTGGCCAACCTCTTCAGTACTTGCCTTACCTGAGCGAGAGGGAAGTGTTTCTCCTGAGCACGCAACACTCACCTGAAAGATAACGACAGCAATTAATGCACCGAATGAGAGAGAGAGAGAGAGAGAGAGAGAGAGAGAGAGAGAGAGAGAGAGAGAGAGGTTAAGATAAAAAGGACGGGTGAAAATAAGTAAAAAATGTGTATATATTAAATGGCCGACGCATATTTTAAGTATTAAATGTGCAAATAACTTTTTAAAACTAAAATGTCCTTCAGTCTCACACGCAAACACACGCGCACACACACACACGGCCGGGTTTGTATATTTTCCCATCAATCTTAAATATTACAAATACATTCGAGCACAACCAAACCACAGGAACATACAAAAAATTATATACCAGGCTATTTAGCGTGAGACAGCCAGGCGCTTGTACCGTGATTTACTACGTTGAAATAGCGACGTTTTATCCCTGCGGGCAAACACCTCAGCTGCCTTCTATTACGTTGCTGCTTGAATACCCTTATCTATCTGGTGGTGGTGGTGGTGGTGGTGGTGGTGGTGGTGGTGGTGGTGATTGGTGGTGGTGATTGGTGGTGGTGGTGGTGGTGATTGGTGGTGGTGGTGGGGGGGGGGGTTTGTGGTGATGGTGGTTGTAGTGATGGTATTTTTTTTTTTTATCACAAACGTAGCCATTCAATTATTCAATGCTAACAGGCTTATATAAATATTTTAAGTTGTGTCCTCTACAGACAGGGTCAGAGGTATGTTAGACAACACATACACACACACACACACACACACACACACACATACACACACACACACACACACACACACACACACACACACACACACACACACACACACACATACATTGGAATGGAATACATTAGGCAGTGATGTGGTGGAGGCTGACTCCATACACAGCTTCAAGTGTAGATATGATAAGAGCCCAGTAGGCTCAGGAACCTGTATACCTGTTGATTGACAGTTGAGAGGCGGGACCAAAGAGCCAGAGCTCAACCCCCACAAGCACAACTAGGTAAGTACATTATACATATATATATTACATATATATGTTTGTTGTTAGTTAAAAGTTGAGAGGCTGGACCAATGAACTGAAACAAGCACATAGAAGTACACACAAAGCTAGAAAGGCAGAGCCCAGGAGCTTGGGTTCAACTCTTAAACCCCCAACATCGTGGTACAAAATCTTGTCGAGTATTCACTCTTTCTCTCCCTCTTACTCTCTTTCACTCTCACACTCTCTCACTCCTTTACAACCTGACCTACCTTTCCCGTGTAAATATTTCTCTCTTCATTCACGGATACAACGGCCTCGAACCCTGGTAACTCAGGAGAGAGGTCGTATATTTCGCCCACTCGGCCACGACCCTAAAGGCGATAGGCCCATCCGGCCAGCATCTCCGCTTCTCCCCCGTGTTATCAGGCCGCGATGATGCTATCTTGCGGTCATCTGTTGTCTCTATCTCTCGGGGTCATCTGTTATCTGTTTATCTCTCGAGGGTCATCTGTTATCTGTTTATCTCTCGCGGGTCATCTGTTGTCTCTCTTTATCTCTCGAGGGGTCATCTTTTATCTCTGCTTATATCGTGGGGTCATCTGTTATCTCTGTTAATAATCTCACGGGTCATCTGTTATCTCTGTTTATCTCACGGGACATCTGTTATCTCTATCTCTCGGGTAATCTGTTATCTATAATTATTTCAGTGCTTCTCAAATATTTCCGCACCCTATTGCGGGCGACGAACTCAATATATAGGCAAGACAACACCATTCCTTTCAAGTCGTCTATCAATGCATAAACGGCAGAAAGCACCTATTAAGGAACATATAGTCTCTGATGATAATTTGGTTATGTATAAGAGATATTCTGACAAACAAAAATAATCGACAGATACAGCAACAACAGAGGAGTGGACATGTGCGAGGCATTAAAGATCAAGCAAACCAAGCCACGTGTTAATGGCCAATTAGCAGTTAAAACTTTTGTAATCATTCCAAGTCTGCCTTTGACAATGTTGACAAGAGTTAGCGAAACGTAACTCTACAAATGTACTTTGGAGAGTTAATGTTTTAACTACATTCTCAAGTACCTTCAAAAATATATAAGATTCGCGCTAGAATAATTATTCTCACCCTTTCTGTCACATTCAATAACATTCAATAAGGGTTGGTTAGGTTCGTTCATATATCTACGTTAGTTTTAACTCAAATTAAAAAAAAAATCATACATAATGAAATGGATAACTTTATCATTTCATAAGAAAAAAAATTGTAAAATATATAAATTCAGAAAAACTTGGCTTATTAGGTAAATCGGGCCTTGCATAGTAGGCAAAGTAGTGCGTTCTGGCTACTAGGTACGAATATATATATTCGTACCTAGCGAATAGAGCGAGAGAGAGAGAGAGAGAGAGCGAGAGAGATGTTCTATAATCTTCCAATTATCCCTTGTACTCTACTCTCAAAAATGAAATCATAAAAAATTTACAACTAGGAGGAAATTAAAATGTTGGAGGAAAATAGTTTTTGATAGAGGAAGTAAAAATAGAGATGTGCCCCTTAACGCCTCTTCCTCCATCGCTCTCCTCTCTCTCTCTCTCTCTCTCCCTCTCCCTCTCCCTCTCTCACACCCAAATAGATATATGGAAAGCAAAATGTGAGCAAAAAACGCGAGAATCATTACTTGAAACAATAATACGAAAGGCGGGGCTTAGGAACTAAAGCTCGACCCAGGATACATGTTTCAATAAATACGCTCACACGCACTCTTGCACGCACGCACCAGAGCTCTTGAATTTTGTCAGAAAGTTCGCTTCAAAAGTTCCCTCCTAATCTGCATACTCAAAATACGCAAAATACATCGCAATACGAAATGTGGACATGTGTTGTCTCGCTCGGACTCCCAGCAACACCGGGATCACAACACAAAAGGAAATACAGCCGGAGAGCGGAAATACAGCCGGAGAGCGGAAATACAGCCGGAGAGAGGAAATACAGCCGGAGAGAGGAAATACAGCCGGAGAGAGGAAATACAGCCGGAGAGAGGAAATACAGCCGGAGAGCGGAAATACAGCCGGAGAGAGGAAATACAGCCGGAGAGAGGAAATACAGCCGGAGAGAGGAAATACAGCCGGAGAGAGGAAATACAGCCGGAGAGAGGAAATACAGCCGGAGAGCGGAAATACAGCCGGAGAGAGGAAATACAGCCGGAGAGAGGAAATACAGCCGGAGAGAGGAAATACAGCCGGAGAGAGGAAATACAGCCGGAGAGAGGAAATACAGCCGGAGAGAGGAAATACAGCCGGAGAGAGGAAATACAGCCGGAGAGAGGAAATACAGCCGGAGAGAGGAAATACAGCCGGAGAGAGCAAATACAGCCGGAGAGAGGAAATACAGCCGGAGAGCGGAAATACAGCCGGAGAGCGGAAATACAGCCGGAGAGCGGAAATACAGCCGGAGACAGGAAATACAGCCGCATAGAGGAAATCCTCCAGACCTCTGTAAGTCGTATGAGAGTGCTGGTGTCCTCCTAACAGTGACCCAACAGGCTGTTAGATCCTGCTACTAGCATTCTGACGTGTATGACTCTCATAGCCCGGTTGATCCGGCATCCTCTGGAGGGGTTTATCAAGTTCTCATTTAAACACTGAAAGTCCGCTTGTTATGGTCCTTTTGTTTAGTGCGAGGGTTGAAATGTCGTGGGCCAATGGTGTTGGTGGAACCGACGCTTGACGTGCTTTTCAACGCGGCTATTTTGCACTTCCTGCCATACCTCCTGGTTTAATACGGGGTTTATTTCCGTGTGTTAATTTGGAACCAGTCCATCTAATGCTTTTCAACGCGGCTATTTTGCACTTCCTGTCATACCACCTGGTTTAATACGGTGTTATCTCCGTGTGTTAATTTGCAACCAGTCCATCTAATGCTTTTCAACGCGGCTATTTTGCATTTCCTGCCATACCTCCTGGTTTAATAGTGTTATCTCCGTGTGTTAATTTGCAAGCAGTCCATCTAATGCTTTTCAACACGGCTATTTTGCACTTCCTGCCATAACTCCTGGTTTAATACGGGGTTTATTTCCGTGTGTTCACTTGGAACCGTACACTCTCCACCTCTATCCTTCCCTCTCCTCCAATATTCCCCTTCTCCCCTTTCTCTCCTCTCCCCTCTATTCCTCCATTCCCCTCCTCTCCCATCCACATTTTACCTGGATGAACGGTGGGAGTAAGCTTAAAAATTCTACGGAAAACACAACTCCTGATTTGACCATGAAAATCGCAGCGGCGGCTATAAATGCCGATATTTCTCACTAGAATGGCACTTGGGCCGACCCAGACTGACCTGTAACACTCACCTACTTCCTATTGTGGGGTGGTTTTTAATAGTGTTTCCTAATACAATGTATTAGGAATTATACAATACAATATATTAATAAAGTAGTAATACTACAGCGTTCTATAACAATGTTCTCCAAGTATACTCTTGGCTCCCTGCATAGTTTGGTGTGAGGTTTACCTCTATCAACCTCAGGAGAGTTTTAAGGGGTTACTACAACAGTTTACTGACTAACCAGTAATAATATCCTTTAGTCTTGAGTAGTCACAAATGTGTACTTACCTAGTTGTTCTTGCGGGGGTTGAGCTATGGCTCTTTGGTCCCGCCTGTTAATCGCCAATCTACTGGTGTACAGATTCCTAAACTTCTCGAACTCTTATCATATCTACATTTGAAACTGTGTATGGAGTCAGCCTCCACCACATCACTGCCTAGTGATGTACACTAGACATGTACACTTCCTGTGTATACATCTCTTGATATACACACTCGGTGTATATACCCACACTACTGTGCCTCGTGGTCCTCCGATATCTCCCCCATTCTCAAGTGTTTTTAATGTTTAAATTTCAAGAAGTATTTTCCCATGAGAGTTTCCGAGTCAAGAGCGAGCGCTTCAATGTTACAGTTTTAAAAGCGTTATTGATTCCTGCTGGGAAATCTCTCCTGGCCTTTGACAGCAGACAAACCTATTCTCTTACGAAACCTCTACATCTTTTTACTCAATTTACTCAGCTTGAGCTCCGAAACATAACAAGGTGGTTTAATAACAATAATACCTTAAAAGTTAGACCATTTCGAAGCTTGCAGACTGTTTAATCATTGTTAAAAGAAAGTCGCTATAATGAAAGATGAACGGGTTCCGTAACGAAACGTCTGAGGTTAATACTTCCTGTGGTGAGGCGAGCAAGGGTTACCACTGGCACGGTAACCTGACCTTATGGGAGTCCCTGTGGGACCTTTAAGGGGACTTTATGGTGACCCTGAGGGACCTTTAAGGGGACTTTATGGTGACCCTGAGGGACCTTTAAGGGGACTTTATGGTGACCCTGAGGGACCTTTAAGGGGACTTTATGGTGACCCTGAGGGACCTTTAAGGGGACTTTATGGTGACCCTGAGGGACCTTTAAGGGGACTTCATGCTGACCCTGAAGGCCCTGAGGACCTCAGAGGTAACCCCATCACCCTGACAGTGGGGATAACACGCTAACAACCATTCAGCGGTTAACAGCGTGGCTGACAAGGAGAAAGAGCTCCTTGAACGCTTTCTTAAACAAGTTCGAGGCCACCAATTACTTCTGAATTACCTCATACATATAAAGTACAGCTTTAGTAATTATATCTTCTTATTAACTAGCATTTCCCTCACCTGGGCTGTTAGAGACTCGAACGCTGGACCCCCATTAGTGGGTGGCCGAAGTTTATTACCGGTTATTAACAAGCATTTCACAAGAGTTAAAATTAATATATTTGTACAATAATAATATTGTTTGTTGACGTGTTGTCACTATTTTAACATCGACTAAAGTATTAAAGAAACTGAAATAAATAAAAGCCTTTCAGAATGCGCATTTAAAAATGTTTTTTTTTTTTAATATATATATTTTTTTTTTTTAAATGTAATCGTGACATGATAACTTTTCATTTATATATAATATATATAACATTGAAGGAGAGGAAAACAGTGCTATTTTCGTCACAGTAAAACTTTCACTGTTGTTCCAACAATGAGATATATTTTATATCAGGCTTTTTATGTGGCTGTTTTGAGAGCTGATGAACTGGTTTCGTCAGAAGCTTGACGCCTAGAATTAGTCTTGACGCAGCTCATCACTTTAAAACAATAACTCACACGAATATGTTGATGGAGATATTGTTAATACATTACTGCCATTGTCATAGTTTTTCAGACGGCCAAAAATTCCAGGAATTGAATTCCAAAGTTCTAAAACTTCATTTCCAAAATTCTTCGTTAAATATATATATATATATATATATATATATATATATATATATATATATATATATATATATATATATATATATATATATATGCGAACAAGCCTGAATGGTCCCCAGGACAATATGCAACTGAAAACTCACACCCCAGAAGTGACTCGAACCCATACTCCCAGATGCCACGCAACTGGTATGTACAAGACGCCTTAATCCACTTGATTAAGTCGTGTCCGGTCGTGATGGTCAAGTGGATTAAGGCGTCTTGTACATACCAGTTGCGTGGCATCTGGGAGTATGGGTTCGAGTCACTTCTGGGGTGTGAGTTTTCAGTTATATATATATATATATATTTGTTTTCTTCCCTGTCGAGGGAAGTTGAAAAATTAACTCTCCAAAGTTCAATTTTACACTTTATTATAATCTGACGCCTGGTGCTGTGTTTCGCAAGGTCCACCTTACATTTTCAAAGACAATTTTCCCGTGTTTAACATCGGATAATATACGCTTTGGGTGAGGTGGTGGATGAATGCTATAACAAGGGAGGGTATTAATTGGGTATGAATAAATTGGGTAATTTTATTAATAAATTAATTGGGTATGAATAAATATGAATTGGGTATCAGGGATATTAATTGGGTATTAAATGTATCAACAGGGCAGTTTACGTTCCTTAGGTAGGATCGTTAATGTCTAAAATGTCTAACGACTCTATCTACCTCGTTAGCGAGGTACAATAGAGCCGTCAGCGAGGCACCACAGAGCCGTCAGCGAGGCTCTACAGAGCCGTCAGCGAGGCACCACAGAGCCGTCAGCGAGGCACCACAGAGCCGTCAGCGAGGCTCTACAGAGCCGTCAGCGAGGCACCACAGAGCCGTCAGCGAGGCACCACAGAGCCGTCAGCGAGGCACCACAGAGCCGTCAGCGAGGCACCACAGAGCCGTCAGCGAGGCACCACAGAGCCGTCAGCGAGGCACCACAGAGCCGTCAGCGAGGCACCACAGAGCCGTCAGCGAGGCACCACAGAGCCGTCAGCGAGGCACCACAGAGCCGTCAGCGAGGCACCACAGAGCCGTCAGCGAGGCTCTACAGAGCCATCAGCGAGGCACCACAGAGCCGTCAGCAAGGCTCTACAGAGCCGTCAGCGAGGCACCACAGAGCCGTCAGCGAGGCACCACAGAGCCGTCAGCGAGGCACCACAGAGCCGTCAGCGAGGCACCACAGAGCCGTCAGCGAGGCTCTACAGAGCCGTCAGCGAGGCACCACAGAGCCGTCAGTGAGGCACCACAGAGCCGTCAGCGAGGCACCACAGAGCCGTCAGCGAGGCACCACAGAGCCGTCAGCGAGGCACCACAGAGCCGTCAGCGAGGCTCTACAGAGCCGTCAGCGAGGCACCACAGAGCCGTCAGCGAGGCACCACAGAGCCGTCAGTGAGGCACCACAGAGCCGTCAGCGAGGCACCACAGAGCCGTCAGCGAGGCACCACAGAGCCATCAGCGAGGCACCACAGAGCCGTCAGCAAGGCTCTACAGAGCCGTCAGCGAGGCTCTATAGAGCCGTCAGCGAAGCTCTATAGAGCCGTCTGGATCAGAGGGTCGGCGGGGTTGCCAAGACTTAAGATATACACAATAATTTTTACCTGGCATTAGAGCGGCCACCCACTGCCTCCCCTCCCACTGACTCCCCTCCCACTGACTCCCCTCCCACTGCCTCCCCTCCCACTGCCTCCCCTCCCACTGCCTCCCCTCCCACTGACTCCCCTCCCACTGACTCCCCTCCCACTGACTCCCCTCCCACTGACTCCCCTCCCACTGACTCCCCTCCCACTGACTCCCCTCCCACTGACTCCCCTCCCACTGACTCCCCTCCCACTGCCTCCCCTCCCACTGCCTCCCCTCCCACTGCCCTCCTCCCACCTTCCACTTACTGAACGCCATCTCCCACCACTGTCTAACTCCCATTTCCCATCCTAATCAACCAAGCAGGTGTGTGTAGGGGGTGGTGTCCCCCCAGGCAGGTGTGTGTGTGTGGGGGGGTGTCCCCCTGACAGGTGTGTGTGGGGGAGGGGGCTCTTCGCCCCCCCCCCCCACACCTGTAATTAACTAAAGCCGACTCCCTGCCACAGAATTTTAATTAATAAAATACATCTCCCTTGCCCGAGGCACTTGACGAAATATATTATATTTACCAACACATTGCGATTTCCCTTTAAATATATTTCTTCATAGGCCTATAGGCATCTCTAAATTCAAAGATAAACCAATTTATTTTGACTATTTAAAAGCTGTTTATTCGGTACAATTATTCGCCACTTCGCAATATAAATTGTACAGTGATACAGAAATGGGTGGGACAGTAGCTGGGACGGGAAATGGGTCGGAGGATGGAACAGTGGTATGGTGGAGATGGAAGAGTCTCCCATGGCTGTGATGGAAGAGTTTGTCGTGTTGGCTTGTAAGATTCCCCCTGAGAATTTTGTAAGTGGTGATCATGTCTCCCCCTGAGTTTAAATACACTTAGGATTGTTGAGTGACCAGCTGGGTGATACACTCAAGAGTCGACTCACGCACGCACGCACGCGCGCGCGCGCACACACACACGCGCGCGCGCGCACACACACACGCGCGCGCGCACACACACACACACACACACACACACACACACACACGCAAGAGTAACTTACATGAATTACGTCGTATGCTGGTGCAGTCTGCTTCCTGCTGCCTCCGCTTACCTGAAAGGCAGTCCCACGTTAGTACAGCCACCACACCTGCTGCTGCAGGTCAGCAACAGGTCAACTGGCTACAGGTCAACTGGCTACAGGTCAACTGGCTACAGGTCAACTGGCTACAGGTCAGCTGGCTACAGGTCAGCTGGCTACAGGTCAGCTGGCTACAGGTCAACTGGCTACAGGTACCTGGTTACCTGGTTGATACCTGGTTGATGGGGTTCTGGGAGTTCTTCTACTCCCCAAGCCCGGCCCGAGGCCAGGCTCGACTTGTGAGAGTTTGGTCCACCAGGCTGTTGCTTGGAGCGGCCCGCAGGGCCACGTACCCACCACAGCCCGGCTGATCCGGAACTTCTCTTAGAAAACCGTCCAGTTTTCTCTTGAAGATGTCCACGGTTGTTCCGGCAATATTTCTTATGCTCGCTGGGAGGACGTTGAACAACCGCGGACCCCTGATGTTTATACAGTGCTCTCTGATTGTGCCTATGACACCTCTGCTCTTCACAGGTTCAATCTTGCATTTTCTTCCATATCGTTCACTCCAGTACGTTGTTATTTTACTGTGTAGATTTGGGACCTGACCCTCCAGTATTTTCCAGGTGTATATTATTTGGTATCTCTCTCGTCTCCTTTCTAGAGAGTACATTTGGAGAGCTTTGAGACGATCCCAATAATTTAGGTGTTTTATCTCGTCTATGCGTGCCGTATATGTTCTCTGTATTCCCTCTATTTCAGCAATCTCTCCTGCTCTGAAGGGGGAAGTGAGTACTGAGCAGTACTCGAGACGGGACAGCACAAGTGACTTGAAGAGTACAACCATTGTGATGGGATCCCTGGATTTGAAAGTTCTCGTAATCCATCCGATCATTTTTCTGGCTGACGCGATATTTGCTTGGTTATGCTCCCTAAACGTTAGATCGTCGGACATCATTATTCCCAAATCCTTGACATGCTGTTTTCCTACTATGGGAAGATTCGATTGTGTTTTGTACCCTGTATTATGTTTCAGATCCTCATTTTTGCCGTACCTGAGTACCTGAAATTTATCACTGTTAAACATCATGTTATTTTCTGCTGCCCAATCAAAAACTTTGTTGACATCTGCTTGTAGTTTTTCAATGTCTTCAGCAGAGGTAATTTTCATGCTGATTTTTGTGTCATCTGCAAAGGACGACACGAAGCTGTGGCGTGTATTTTTGTCTATATCAGATATGAGAATAAGGAACAGTAGCGGTGCAAGGACTGTACCTTGAGGTACAGAGCTTTTAACATCGCTTGGACTCGATTTTATCTGATTGACTGTTACTCTTTGTGTTCTGTTCGACAGGAAATTGAGTATCCAGCGTCCTACTTTTCCAGTTATTCCCATTGACCTCATTTTGTGAGCTATCACCCCATGGTCACATTTGTCGAACGCCTTTGCAAAGTCTGTGTATACATCTGCATTTTGCTTTTCTTCTAGGGCTTCTGTGATTTTGTCATAGTGGTTGAGTAACTGTGACAGACAGGATCTTCCCGCTCTAAATCCATGTTGTCCTGGATTGTGCAATTCATTGTTTTCCATAAAACTAGAAATTTGATTCCTAATCACTCTTTCAAACACTTTTATTATGTGTGATGTTAGTGCAACTGGCCTATAATTTTTTGCCAAGGCTTTACTCCCCCCCTTGTGCAACGGAGCTATATCTGCAGATTTAAGTGCTGCTGGTATCTCCCCTGTATCCAGGCTCTTTCTCCATATTACGCTGAGTGCTCTCGCTACTGGTACTTTACATTTCTTTATGAATATTGAATTCCATGAGTCAGGCCCAGGAGCTGAGTGCATAGGCATATTATCAATTTCTCTTTCAAAGTCTTCCGAGTTTGTGGTAATATCCGTTATATTATCTGCAGCTTGAATGTCATTCATAAAGAAGCTGTCTGGGTCATCAACTTTCATGTTGTTTATTGGTGTGCTAAACATAGCCTCATACTGGCTTCTTAGAATTTCACTAATCTCTTTGTTGTCCTCTGTGTACGTACCTTCATTTGTAATTAACGGTCCAATACTGGTCGAGGTTTTGGATTTTGATTTTGCGTATGTGAAAAAATATTTCGGATTTTTCCTTATCTCTTGTATAGCTTTCTGTTCCAATTCCATTTCCTCAGACTCATATGATCGCTTCAACGTTTGTTCTATTTCCTCAATCTCCCTGCTTAGGCTTGTTTTCCTTGCTTGTGATAGTTGTGTCTGCCGAAGCATTTCCGTTATTTTTTTCCTTCTCCTGTACAGTCGTCTCCGTTCTCTTTCTAGAGTGGTCCTCTTTCTGCCCCTCCTCACAGGTACGTGCTTCAAGCAGACCTTGTAAGCTTCAGCTGTCAGTTGAGCTATTCCCTGTGTGGGAGTTTTGTCGCTTAAGACCGTCTCCCATTGAATGGTTGCAAGGTCTACATTTATTTTTTCCCAGTCAATCCTCTTATTGTTGAAATTGAATTGATTGAATATTCCTTCTCGCTTGTTGGGTCTCTTAGACCTACTACCGTTATTTATGCTAGTTCGCACTTCAATGAGCTTATGGTCTGAGTATGAAGTATCTGAGATTGTGATATCCCTGATTAGTTCATCATTGTTTGTGAATAACAAGTCTAGTGTTTTCGTTCCTAGTTGGTTCTGTAATCTGTTGATTGAGCGAGAATTTGTCACAGAATCTCAAAAGTTCTCTAACCTGTGGTTGGTTATTTCCCGGGTCATTCCCTGCTATGATATTTGTGTTTGCCGTTCTCCATCTTAGACTCGGTAAATTGAAATCTCCAAGAAAGATAATATCTGGAGCTGGGTTTGCTAGGTTGTCAAGTATGTTCTCTATTTTGTGCATCTGTTCTGTGAATTCCTCAATCGTTGTATCTGGCGGTTTATATATTAGAATAACAATTAGGTTTAGTTTCTCTACCTTCATTCCAAGTACCTCTACCACCTCATTAGTTGAATTTAATAGTTCTGTGCATACCAGGTCTTCTTTAATATACAGACCTACTCCTCCATTTGACCTAGTTTTTCTATCACATCTATATAGATTATAATTTGGAATCCAGATTTCACCATCCATGTAATCTTTTGTATGAGTTTCCGTGAATGCCCCAAATATTGAGTTTGACTCTAATAGAAGGCCATTTATGAACTTAACTTTATTTCTTGACTTTGGCTTTAAACCTTGAATGTTTGCAAATATGAATGATTGTCCATATTGTGTGTCACTTCTGGAAGGTTTTGGTAGTTCTCCCTCCTCTCTACCCTGACCCAGGGTGTGTTGTTGTGGCAATGGTTTGTCCAGTTTTGGAAGTGATACTGGGGAGTGTGGTAGTCTCTGTGTAGTTGGGGGGTGTAGTATGTGTGGGCTTGATGACGAACTGTAGTCCAGTCTTGGGCATTTCCCCCTCTCCATCCGTACTCCTGCCACTGGCCAACTGGCTGACCACTGGCACTGCCACTGACCACTGGCCAACTGCCAGGTCAACTGGCTACAGGTCAACTGGCTACAGGTCAACTGGCTACAGGTCAACTGGCTACAGGTCAACTGGCTACAGGTCAACTGGCTACAGTTCAACTGGCTACAGGTCAACTGGCTACAGGTCAACTGGCTACAGGTCAACTGGCAACAGGTCAACTGGCTACAGGTCAACTGGCTACAGGTCAACTGGCTACAGGTCAACTGGCTACAGGTCAACTGGCTACAGGTCAGCAAACCTCCAGAATATTCTGCACAGGTTTAAAACATTATAAACCCCTTGTGAACTTCGCAATCTCTGCAACTTCAGGTCAATGCAATTAATGATTGGACGATCCAGGCGGCTATTATAAGCAATACAAT